CATCCTGTCCTGGTTTTTTATGTTTTGATATTGTCTGCTGTCTTCAGGACATTCAGTAGTTATTTCCCTCACTTATTGATTGTAGATTTGTTTGTTTCATCCTACTTTTTTGTTTAAGTGGTTATGTCTGAGCAGGCAGGCTGTGTGTTCTTTGTTATTTGCTCATCTCTGGGCAGGATGCTTTTCATCTTCTTGTCCAATGGGTAGGGCTAGTAGCTCAGCTATGATGCAGAAGAGCAGGTGTAGCTGAAGGGGAGGGGCTGGGATGGGTTTTTGGGGCACATACTGGGGCAGAGAGTGTGGGGTGGGAATCAGTGCAGGGTAGGTTCCTTTAGGCCAAGCCTGTGCTGCTCAGGGGTGTGATGTTCAGTGCATGGTGCAGGTAGGCAGGAAGGAGGAGGGAGATTGTGATGTGTGGAGATAAGATGAGTATGGGAAAGAGGAGAGAGAGGAGAGAGAAACTGGAGCCAAAAACAAGCAAACACACACCTAAAAAAAAAGTGCTAAGGGAGTTTGCCATTGGAGTGGAGAGATGAGAAACCGGGAAATGGAAAAAAATAAAAAGGGAAAAAGAAAAAAGTAATAAATAAAAATTAGAAAAAAGAGAAACAAAGCCCCCAGGGATCCCTCCAGTGCAGCTGTGAAGACCAGGTAAGTGGCTCCCAGGGTGCAAATTACAGCCTCACTAGAAGGGGTAGAGATGGAACAGAGCACCAGCTATTGAGGAGACAGGAAAAGAAGGTAAGTATAAAGAGATGAGAAACTGAGAAATGAAAACAGACAAAAAGGGAAGAAAAAAAAAGAAATGCCCTGAGGGATCCCACTGGCGTGGCTGCACAGACCAGAGAAGTGGCTCCCAAGCCTCGCAGTACAACCTGGCTATAAGGGGCTCCAAAGCCTTGAAAGGAAAAAGAAAACAAACAAAACAAAAGCCCCAGGGATCCCACCTGCATGGCGACGCAGGCCAGGGAAGCAGTTCCCCAGTCAAGCAGTGCTTTACAGCCTTTTAAGAAGCAAATCTGGCACATGAAGCCAGCTGTTTGAGAGTAAGGAGGGGGAGGTGGTAAGAAGCATGGAAGAAACCAAAAGAAGTGAAGAAAAGCAACACCAGCAACAAAAAAAGGCACTCAGGGAGATGGCCTGCGTGGGCAGGGCAAATCCAGGTGACACAGACCAAAGCCAGTGCCTCCTGGCCAAAAGACAGTGGCCAGTGGGTAGCAGAGAAGTCTGAGCAGGGGGGAGAGGAAGAAGGGTAGGGGGTGGGAAAGCATATATTGCTGGTTACCAGTTGTTCTTTCTCATTCTGGGAGCTCCGTGAAGCTGCTTTCCTGTACTCCTTGTCCACCAATCTCCAATGTGGGTGGGGAAAATCCAAGTGGCAAGGACCCTGCACTTCCTAGCCAGGGGAGCTACCTCAGCCAGCTAGGAATCAGCCGAGGTAGAGTGGGGGGAGAAGGATGGGGTGTGAGAAAGCATATATCACTGGTCACCAGGTGCTCTGTCTCCTGCTGGGAGTTCCGTGAAGTTGCTTTCCCATACTCCCTGTCTGCTGATCTCTGACTGGAACCCAAGATGGCTAATCCATGCTGTGTTAGCTAATAGGGGACCTCTACACGCATCTCTCCTTGCTTTCTGTTCTCTGTCAGTTTCTTATTCCATTTGATGCTTGGCTGAGTTCTTTATCTCTTCATTTGATGCTTAGGGTTCCAGGATTGATGTTTGTCTGTTTTACTTAGTTTTTTGGGTCTTTGCTGTGGAGGAATGGTGTGGTGCTTCTGTCTATAGGGCCATGTTGGCTCTGCCTCCTATCAATTCTACTTTTCCCTAATTTAATTCATATATACTTTTATTCATTTGTTTTATAATTTTTAATCCTTTTATTCTCCCTTGATTCTGTAACTGGGTGCTCATTGCATTCATTTTCAGTGTTTCTTATCTAATAACTGAATTTACATCTATATGCTTTTCTGTAAACACTATGGCAATGCATTAGTTAGTGCACAAAACTAGGCTGCTGTAACAAAGAGACTCCAAAACAAATGTACCAAATAAAATAGAAGTTTATGTCTCTCCCAGTTAACAACCTAGAGGTGACTGGTCCAGGGCATGTGGAAAGGTATTTCTCTTCTCAAGTATGTGACTTCCATGCTTGCACTAGTTGTTACCATTTCCCAGGCAACAGAAAGAGAAGGATAAGAAGTCTATAGCAAGCACTGGCTTTAAGGAGGTGAGGAAGAGGTCTTTTTCACTTCTGCTCACATCCAATCTGCACCAACTTATTTACAGAGCCAAGTATAACTTCAAGGAAGGCCTGGGAAAATGCAATAAACCAAAAAAAAAAAAATTGCCACTGAGTTGATTCCAACTCATAGCGACCCTAAAGAACAGACTAAAACTGCCCCGTAGGATTTCTGAGGCTGTAAATCTTTACAGAAGCAGACTGCCACATCTTTCTCCTGCAGAATGGCTGGTGGGTTCAAACTGTCAACCTTTTGGTTAGCAGTCCAGCACTTAATCACTGTGCTACCAGGGCTCTTCAGGTGAAATAGGAGAGGGATAAATATGTGAATGCATGTGTAATTACAATGACTACTGATCTTACAAAATAAGAGTGTAGCTTGTGGGTTGAGGTATCCATAGAATTAAAATACATATAGAATAAAAATACAGGACAAAATAATGCAAAGGCAAAAGAGGGAAATATATAGTTAAAAATGTTCTAATATTCTGGCATTATTGAGAAAATTGTAGATCTATCTGGATAATCATATTCCCACCAGCATCGACTTAACCATTAGGCACAGAAGACACAATGCCTGGAGCCCTTCATACTTTTCAGAACGCATGAAAATGTTTTAATTTATTTTAAAATCAAAAACAAAACATAAACTTTTAGGTCAAAGAAAATGTCTTCATGTATAATGTCAGTTTATGTGTCTTTATACCAACACAATCATAAAATACCAATTTTAATGTCTTTTATAGAGGAAGGAGAGCCCTAATGGCACAGTGGTTAAGAGTTTGGCTGCTAGCTAAAGGGTCGGTAGTTTGAATCCACCAGCTGCTCCTTGGAAATCCTATAGGGCAGTTCTACTCTGTCCTATAGGGTCGTATGAGTCAGAATCGACTGGATGGCAACAGGTTTGGTTTACAGGTATAGAGGAAGGGGCCCACAGAGACAAAAATGATAAAGGGTCATGAAAGTCTTAAATGGCCTTGAGTCCCACCTAAAATCCAGGGATTCTATTGCTAAAATGAAGAAGGGAACAATGGATAGAGGGGCAGTTAATAGTTTCTGTCACAATCTGCACCTGTGGCTGCTCACTAACTGTCTTAGTCATCTAGTGCTGCTTTAACAGAAATACCACAAGTGGATGGCTGTAACAAAGAGAGATTTATTTCCTTACAGTAAAGTAGGCTAGAAGTCCGAATTCAGGGCGTCAGCTCCTGGGGAAGGTTTTCTCTCCCTGTCAGCTCTGGAGGAAGATCCTTCTTATCAATCTTCCCCTGGACTAGGAGCTTCTCTGCACAGGAACCCCGGGTCCAAAGACACACTCCGCTCCTGGCACTGCTTTCTTGTGGTATGAGGTCCTCAACTCTCTGCTTGCTTCCCTTTCCTTTCATCTTTTGTGAGATAAAAGTTGTGCAGACCACACCCCGGGGAAACTCTCTTTACATTGGATCATGGATGTGACCTTAGTAAGGGTGTTACAATCCCACCCTAATCCTCTTTAACATAAAATTACAATCACAAAATAGAGGACAAGCACATAATACTGGGAATCATGGCCCAGCCAAATATCAATTTTGGGGGGGACACATAGTTTTGGGGAGATATAATTCAATCCATGACACTAACCATAAGTGCTCTTTCTCACACACTCTCTTGTGCCCTCAAAAGAAACAACTTAAAAGTCTACCCCTTGGCTGCATACAGTGGAATGTCCAGGGATTCTTGGTCCAAACATAATTCCTCCCCAACCAGGGACCTATAAATTAATAAACAGGTTATACACCTCTCCCATATTCAACATGTAAAGGTGAAATAGGAATGTGATAAAGCCAGGGAAATAAAACAAACAAAAAACACAGAACAAAATTTAAAATTTTCCCTACCATAAAAATGAAGGACTGAAAATACAGAGCCTTTAATGATGAAACCTTCTGGGTAGGAAAGACAAAGACATGTCCTAGAGTGAATTAATTTCTTGATTAGACCCTGGTTCTGCTCCCCAAAAGGCATTCCTTTGTTCTTCATGGCTAATGGATTTGACGTCTTCTTTATCTGTTATTCTCTGTGACTTCCCTGCTTTTATGTCTCACTTTCTGCTGAGGTAGGTTTGGGCCACCTAGTATTGAACAATCATAGCTGTTTGTAAACAATTTCTCTGGTTTCCTTGCCTGAGCATTGTGAGCAATGTTTGAGGCCAATAGCTCTGGGACTATGGGACTAGACCAGGTGAACAGAGCTCTTCAATTTTTTATTAACTCCAAACCAATTCACATTACCAACACATGTTGCATTCTGAATTTCTCAATTGTATTTTCCAGATTTCTAATTCTGCTCAGTTTCACTCTAAATATGTTCTTATTTTTGCAGTATCTTCATATTTTTACTGCTAATGTCAACCTTTGTGATTCAGTAAAAACCCACTGCCATGGAGTCAATTCTGACTCACAGCGACTCTATAGGACAGAGTAGAACTGCTCCATAGGGTTTCCAAGCAGCAACTGGTGTATTCGACTTGCTGACATTTTGGTTAGCAGCCTGAGTTCTTAACCACTGTGCCACCAGGACTCTCTTGATTCAGTAGTACAACAAAAAATTCACTTGTATTTGTATATTTTTCCTGATATTTTAATGGAATTCGAGGTGCAGAAATGGTAAATTTCACAAAATCAACAGTTATCTCTCTTAAACCTGATTTCACTAGATTGGTCTTTTCTGTAGCATTCATATTACTTTACATCTGTGTACTGCTGTTCTTTTTTTTGTATAGATATTATGGATTTCTTCAAAGAATTACAAATCTAACTGGAATAACAGGAGGACTAATTGCTTCCACTCTGACTGGAATAATCAGTAATCTGGTAAGGAACTCCCAGACATGGGTAGCTATTTTTCCAGTATTAATTGTACAGAACAAAAAGCTAATACATACATGAAAAGTATGCAAAAGAGACATCAGCAGGAGACAGATTATGAGTTTCTGTGTCATATGAAATAAACTCAGTCAAATCAGGCATCTCTCCAAATCTACAGATAATATACTTTCTTATAATATGACAATTAGTTGTGCTGTGAACTCTTTAGTCATTGGCCACTGGAATGGAAGTGGATCCTGTGATTTGTAATAATGAATGTGCAGCTTGATCAAAACAGGTATATGGTTGGGTGAGAGGAAGTGTAAGTAACAAGATACAGTTTGGTTAGAAAAGGAGATGAGATACGAGGAGCAAATAGAGTTAAAGAATGACCAAAAGAAACATTTCTATGAAGACAGACTTCTGTTTCTACAAATGTCATGGACATGGAAACCTGAAATTGTCTGCTAAGAACACTTAAAATTCCTTATCAAATTGTAATAATAATTTTAAATACATGCCTAATCTTGAAAAAAAAATAAGTTTCCAGAGATTAAAAATGAAAAAGGAGCTTGAATCCAGTGATGTAAATGACTGTCGAAGCCACTGGCTTACTTGGGCAAATTGCCAATCATGAGTTATCTATATCTTTAGTTACAATGGACAAACAGAGGATAAGAGATAACATCTTAAAACCACTCAAAACATAAGTCAAAATGAAAATGTAGGCATACAGCTGGAATTCACAAGAACTAAGCCCTCACACCACGAGAACTATACGGTTCATGTACAAAGTTGAGCTGTTTGGAGAAAAACCTACAAGCTAAGTAGTGTGCAGGCATTTCCTCCAAATGCTCCTTATCCAACAGCTTGGACCAGGGAGAGATGGTCTGCTTGCACCATGGCTGAATTTCCCATTGAGAAGAGCCCACCACCATCACACCCTACGTACTTATGGTATCAGAAAGGCAGGAAGCATCATAATAACCACAGAAGCTCCCTGATCAGAAAAAGGGGGAACTACAGGAGACTAGAATCTGGTACATGTCCCTGAGCATAGACCCTGCTACAGCCTGTTCTTCATTAAGCTAACTCAAAGGTGCTGAACTGACTTCCAGAATTTGCTGGCTGAGGTAACTTCTTTGCTAACTTAAAACAAATTAGGAGGAAATGTGCCTCAAGAACTATCCAAATTTGTCCCTGCTCAGTAAGAAAACTTTTCTATCGCATCCTCAGCTTTAAAGAGAGGGAAAACCTGAAAACAAAATAAAACCGTCTTATGAGTTTTGTAACAATAAACCAACTTTCACAAGGTTCTGAGTCCCAAATTCAAACTCTCTATTTGTTCCAAAAGCCACAAACTACGAACCGAATTTCAAGTAGTCCCAGGTTAGCAAAGCTCACAGATGCCTTGTAGAAACAAACAAAATGATCTCTGGAAAAACACACCTTGAACACAGGCTCCCGAATTCCCTCCTGGATGTAGTTTCAGTGAATATTATTTTGCAATTAAAGATCAAAAGACACTTGAAGTTATAAGGTGCCAAGAGTGAGAGTTAGAAGAAATAAAAACCACAGAATTAGATGCTCAGAAATATTGGAAATTTACATATCTATGCTTAACAAAGTGAAAGAGGATTGAAAACACAAATAAGAAACAGATTTAACAATCAAATCTAACCTCTGGAAATAAAAAATATAAACATTGAAATTAGAAATTTCAGATTGGATACAGCAAAAAAAATGAGTAAGGCTTCTATTAATGGGAGATTAAATCATTTGGGCCAACTCTATTAATAAAGACTACTAAAATGGTTGGGAAAATGTAAAAAGAGTCTTCTGCGAAGTATCGGGTCGCTATGAGTTGGAATTGACTTGATGGCAACGGGTTTGATTTTGGGTTATGACGCTTCAGAGAGCTAAAGAGATAGAACGTTGTAATGAACAAGATATGGAAGAAGCCAGGAACTCAAAGAAATGAGCAAAGGACTAGGAAGTAATTTTTCTCCTGGGATAAGGAAAGCTAAGCTGATATATATATATATACACATATATATATACATATATACATATATATACATATATATATACATATATATATACATATATACATATATATATATATATATATTTGCTGATAATCAGCCTGACAATGGCGAGGACCCTGATAAACTAATGTTTTCCACTGAGATCTTCCAAGAACTGCATCCAAGGAGCAAAGGTTAACAGAAATAAACCACTCCTCACATGGTCTGCTTTGGATCATTTGGGTGGACCAGAAAAATAACAAGCCTTAATTTAAAGTGATTCAGGACTGCTAATGTTGCCAAGTGTGCCTGGAAGAAGCAAAAACATGCTTAGAGGAAAATGACGTCACCCTAGATATTAAACTGTCCCTAAAAACAGTTTTTTAAATTCAATCTTCAGAACATAATAAAACATAACTAGGTACATTGAGGAAGTATGACAAAATAAGGGAGAGCCAGCAGAAAAAACAAACAACAGAAATAGACCCCCAAGGAAACAAATATTGCAATTATTAAACCAGACTGTAAAATATATATACTTTCACTGTTCATGAATTAAAAGCCAAGCTTGAAAATTATAGTAGGACACTCAAAACCATAGTAAGCAGAATATTTTAAAAAGTGCTCAAAATAAATTTAAAAAAGGAAAATTCAAAATACAACTCACTGGATGAATTTAACAGACACAGTTCAAGTGTTAACCACTCCAACATCCTGGTAGCTTACAAATCACAAAGGCAGAAGTCAAGGTTAAGATGATGGAGTAGTCAGATGCTTCCAGTGGTCCCTCTTATAACAAAGACATGAAAAAACAAGCGAATTGATTATATATGACAATCTAGGAACCCTGAACACCAAAGACAAAGTTGAGGAATTGGACTGAGCAGCAGGGGGAAGGAGAGACAGTTCAGAAGCAGCGAGGAGTTGCCAGACTGGACCTGGAAGGAACCAGTACCCTGCAGACTGGATTGACTGATGTACGTAGTGAGGCAAACAGTGACGTTCGGGACATGTTTTCCACATTGGGACAGACCAAGTGGTGGAGAGTCTGCTCAAGCCTCCAGAATCAGAAAGAAATGGAGCTCAATCGGCGAATGATAAGCACAAGTGAATAATGTACCACATGGATTTAAAAAAAAAAAAACGCTTTTGGGAAGTTTCTCTCTCTCATTTACCTGTCCCCTCCCTGGCTTCAGTGCTTGCTGCACCCCCTGGGCCAGAAGTAGGACCTGTCGAGTGCCCTGAGCCATTCTCCCGGCTTTGGAGATGGAACAAATTAACAAACAGGAAAAAATAATCTGCCAGCTCCCCTAAGCTAGGAACTCAGGGCAGGCACAGCCCATTTGCCTAGGCACAGGCATAAGGGGTCCATGGACTTTGAATGCTTTTCACCCCTGCATAGACCTGTGTGGGCCCATTTCAACAGCTTAGGCCCACATTAGCACAGTAAAACAGGGTATATACCTGAAGCCTAGTTTCAGCTGCATAAGCTATAAAGGGGAGTGACATTTGACACCACCCTGACCATTAAGTAGGGTCCACACCTACCCACATCAGGGGTCTGAGGACTGGTGTCTCCACCTACTCCACTGAGCCACCCACAACAGGGGTCCAAGAATAAGTGGTGACTCCCAGTCCCTACAGCCAACAGCACTGGATGCCCAAAGTCTGGCTGCAAAAACCACCTACCTATGTGCTCTAGGGACGATGGACATGCCTTTCACCCAGACACTCAGGGGCAGCAGTCATCCTCTGCCTTGATCAGCACATGACCCCCTACTGCAGGCAGACCTGTGCCTATTCCAGTCACCTCTGCTCATCTATGACTGTAGGTGAGAGCCTACACCACACAGTCAGTGACAGATGACCTGGATGCCTGAGCTGCAGCCACACAAGAAAAGTAAATGAACTCCTGGGCTCATACACCTAGTAAGAGCTCTAGTCACCTGGGGACAGGACATGAGATCTTCAAAGACACCAATAATCAAACTAGCTCACATAATCAGCCTTTTGGGCATATCAAAACACAACAAAACAAGAAGCTAGGACATAGTAAGCAAACATAAAATAAATATATTAACTTAATGATGGCTCAGAGACAACAGTCAATATCAAATCACATAAAGAGGCAGACCATGATGGCTTCAGTAAGCCACCAAAATAAAGAATCAAGAAACCTTCTGGAGGAAGAGAACTTCTTGGAATTACCTGAGGTAGAATTCAAAAGATTAATATATAGAACTCTTCAAGATATCAGAAAGGAGATCCGTCAAAACGGAGAACAAGCCAAGGAACACATCGACAAAGCAATAGAGGAAGTTAAGTAGGTTATACAAGAGTAGAATGACAAACTTAACAGGCGCAACAATCCATAAAGAGACAGCAAACAGAAATGCAAAAGATTAGTGATAAAATTTCATAATTAGACAACTCAATAGAAAGTCATAGGAGCAGAATTGAGGCAATGGAAGTTAAAATTAGTGAGAATGAAAACAAAGCACTTGATACCAACTTATTTGAGGAAAAATCAGATAAGAGAATTTAAAAATGAAGAAAAACTAAGAATTATGTGGGACTCTATCAAGAAGAATAACCTATGAGTGATTGGAGTACCAGAAAAGGAGGAGATAACAGAATATATAGAGAGAGTTGTTGAAGATTTGTAGAAAAAAACTTCCCTGATATTGTGAAAGATGAGAAGACATCTATCCAAGATATTCCTCAAACCCCATACAAAGTAGTTCCTAAGAGAACGTCACCAAGACATATTATAATCAAACTTGCCAAAACCAAAGATAAAGAGAGAATATTAAGAGCAGCTAGGGATAAACGAAAAGTCATCTACAAAGGAGAGTCAATAAGAATAAGCTTGGACTACTCAGCAGAAACCGTGCAGGCAAGAAAGCAATGAGATGACATATATAAAGCCTTGAAGGAAAAAAACTGCCAGTCAAGAATTATATAACCAGCA